TAGCAGGTACTGATGGGAGAGCTTCTGGGTCCTGATCTGGTGTCCACAGCTCAAAAAGAGAGGCAGATAAAGCAAAGAGCGCTCAGAGAATAGCCATGATGTTGGATTAAAAATCTGGGAAGCTCAACAGGAGCCAATCCCATGGGCACCTTGGCAAGGCCCAGCTGATCATCTCTGTGACATTAGGGTGCTGCTGCTCCTCTCTCCATGTCCCCCTTCCTGACCGCTGCCTGTACGTCTCCTCTCCAGTGATTGATGGTCCAACCCAGATCCTGGTGCGGGACGTCTCTGACACTGTGGCCTTCGTGGAGGGGACGCCGCCGCGCGCCAAGGTGGACACCATCCTGCTGCAGTACGGGCTGGTGAACGGGGGGGGAGGGAAGACCACCTCCCGCCTGCAGCCCCCGCTGAGCCAGTACTCCCTGCAGGCCCTGCGCCCGGGCTCCCGCTATGAGGTGGCTGTCAGCGGCCTGCGAGGCACCAATGAGAGTGACGCCGCCCTCACCCACTTCACCACAGGTAGCCGCACGTGGACCGATTTGCTAGTTTTTGAACTCAGCATCTAAATACCTTTCATCCCCCTGAGAAGGGAGCAGGAAACGCCCCCAGCTGGCTCTCTGGAGCCTGACCAAACCCAGGTGTGGGGACTATGATGCACTGACACCCACCCGGCTTTGCTATCGAGCACACATCCCCAGCCTCCATGAGATTCTGTCTTGTGACATCTCTTGAAATAGGTTCGCTGCACAGTGACTCACTTTGTGAGCTCTGCTCTGCACATCTCCAGGGTATATATGGCTCAGGCTAAGGATTATTCCTCCCTAGCAGACCTGGCAATAGTTGCCTGTACATTTTGCCTGCAGTACAGCAGCAATTATCAAAACTTAAAAGGTTCAACCCCAGCTAGTGCTTCTGTCTGCAAGCATTTGTTTGCCTATTCTAATTACAATCTGTTTGTGAGGATTAAAAACTCATCCCCGCTCTGCAGAGCATAAACACTGCAGCACAGGCTGGGATGTCCATGGTGGAGGTTGGACTGCAGCACCTTTAGCGACCTCGTGGAGCGGAGCCAGTGGCACTCCGCAGGCATCGCCGCTGCAGGAACACACCTTGCAAGGGGAGGCACGCGCTGCTGCCGGCTGCAGATGGGCTGGCCTTTAATGAGGGTGTGCATTTGCACAGCTGGATCCAAACCAAGGTTGTGCCAGACTGCCTGCACTATGGCAAGATCCTTTCCCCCTCCCCGCAACGCAAATGAGCTGAAGTTTCATCTGATACAACAGAAGGACGTAGTAGCACAAGGATAACGACCAAGTTAAGATTCAGGTCCAAATTAAGGCGTCTCAGACACCATAACAAAGCAAGTCAATAGGGGAAGTGAGAGATCCAGCTCACACTGAAACAGGATACTGCCAGCTTGTCAGCTGAAGCGTTCTCTGTCCATCACCCACTACTTGCTCAGCTCCATTCCCCTCTATGTCCTGTGCCCCATGGAGATCTTTCTCATTGCCCTGGGCACCTCAGACTACTCCAGATGCCAGTGTTTAGGTGACCGGATCAAATACCTGAATTGAGGTGTCAGTCAGTAGGTGAGTCCCACCTTGCCCACCTCCTATCACAGCATCCAGCTGCCTGCAGGTTCTCATGGGTGCAAAGTCCCAGCCAGCAGCACGTCCAGCCCATCCTCCCACCAGCTTCAAAATCCCTCAAACCTCTCTCCAGCCTGGAGCCCAAGGCCATGCTTTAAAAAACAGACGCCAGAAGACACCTGTAGATAAGCAGGCAATTTTCAAATGCACCTAAACTGTGAAAAATGTGGTTCTTTGAGAAAAATCAGAGCCCTTTAGGCACGAGAGGCCTCATTTTAAAAAGATGGTCCCTCCTGTCAGAGATGAGGCAGGTGCTTTGCCTGAGAAATCTGCAGCTAAGCGCCTGAAAGCAACACAGTTAAAAATGTGGTTACCTTATTTTATATCTGATATGAACACTCTAACTGGTCAGTAAAACTTTAATTAATGTTGAGCCTGCAGATAGCTACCAGGTTTAATTTACCATGCCATAAAGGAGGAGGTAGAGAGCATATTTCAGTACTATTTTATGGTATATAAATTACCTGTCATGTATATTACTCGTGGATACTCGGCTCCCATTACAATAACTGTAGTGCATGAATTGTGTGTGTATATATATATCTCTATATAGCTATATATTTATTATGAGAATTTCGCTGCAATTGATTTGCTGAGTTGGCCTTCCTTGCTTTATTTCTAAGAGACAACATAAAAAATCCTTCTGTAAAATCCTGATCCAGTAAAGAACAGTAATTACTCCTGCCTCCTAGCATTCAACAACAGCCAGATCCTGTCTTGTAGTGATGCCTACAGACATGCAGCCTGCAGGAGAGATGCATTGTGCAAATCTGAGCAGATATGGTACACAGCCTTAGCAGTGCTCAGGCACACAGCACAGCATCAGTCAGAGCAATGTCTGAACGTGAATGAGTCCATAAAGAAGCTCAAGGTCTTCCAAGATATCCCATCAAAATTCACAGCAGCTCTATTCAGTGCTTTACTGATACAGAGCTTTTTTCCACCCTCTGACACATAGTGCCTCAGTTTCCCCTGCTGCAAATTGGAATAACAAATTTCTTCTATAAATAACATGCTGTTATTTATAGGAGGTAACTCACAGAGCGGCGCTGTGACTGCCTCGGTGTTGCACCGAGCCCTGCTGAGCCGCTGCCTCTGTCCCTTGTGTTGCGCAGAAATCGATGCCCCCAAGAACGTGCGCGTGGGAGCCCGGACAGCAGCCAGCCTTGAGCTCGCCTGGGACAACAGCGAGGCCGAGGTGCACAGCTACCGCGTGGTCTACAGCACCCTGGCCGGGGAGCAGTACCACGAAGTACTGGTGCCCCGCGACAGTGGTCCGACGACCAGAGCCACCCTCGCAGGTAGGCTCCCTCCTCCTGTGCAGGGCAGATTTGGGTGGCAGAAGCCCTGCACTGGATCTCCCATGGGTCCCACCAAGTGTGCAGGGCATCCCAGCTAGAGTTGCCAGGAAGCAAAGGGAGAAATGGGGCAATGAAAGTGGTTTAGGTGGCTCTCAAACAATATTACTTTCCTCTCTTTCCTTACCCCTCAGGAAAGTAGCATTTTTGTGGTCCAGACAGACTTGACCAGGTAGCTGGCTGTTGCACATCCCAAAGCACTGTCTATCTAAGCACAGAAGAAATCCGAGAGTCACTTTAATGGGAAAGAGCCCCAAAACCTACTGAGCATGAGGAAGCTGGGATCCCCAAGTTCATTACCCTTTGCTAAATCTGGCATTCTATGCTGTTTGAATCAGGGATCACATTTTTTTTGTAGGTCTCGTAGGCGTTGCATCATTCAGGGTAGCACATGGATGCCACTCGGAGCATGGGCAGGAAAGTTGCAAACACCCTTTTCAGAAACACCATGAAAAACAACACTATTTTTTTTCCCCACCTATAACTATTTGCATGCCAGACCTGCACTTTCAGTGGCATCTGGGGCTACGAAATGGTTCACAAACATGAAAAAAAAAAAGGCAGTAATTGAGCTTTGCACTCACCTAGTTCTGCAGTGCGCGCCACCACATTTTCAATGTGACACAGCGGCATTTCTCTTTGCTCTCCTGGCACCTTCCCAGCCCAGAAAGGGTCCAACCACTGGATTGGTTGGGAATTTCCCCATGCATCGGTCATACGGATCTACAAAAACAAGTCTGAGTGAAGATTATAAAACAAAAGCTGCCCGTGATGGACAGTGATAGATATCAGTGACATTTAGGCACTGCAGAGGCTGGAATTACACGCCGTGCTCCAGACACTTTCCTGCTGCTGCCAGTCTTAGACAGTGTTAAGCAAAATCTCCCTGGACCTTGTTAACAACATGATCATAGATAGTGCTGTCCTTTAGTGCTCTCTGTAATGACTCTATTCCCTTCGGTATTTAGCTGCTCTTCCATTACATGCCTCAACTCCAGAGACACAGAGGTTTAATCAGTTGCTGTAACTGATTTTTATACAGTGTTTGTTTTCCATCATCATCATCATCATCATCATCAAAGTGCACTGCTGCTTGCTCCCAGGGTACTGTACAGTAAACAAACACAATTCTAGTTACAGCAGAGAAATACCATCCAGCTAAAAGAAAAATCACTTACATTTCACTTGAAGGCCGCTGTTTTCCTGCCGCTGGCACTAGCAGCTGTTTAGCAGTTCCGCAGCAGCCAGCCAGCACAGAGGTGGAAAGCAGCGGTAGCACAACTCATCCTCTGAGCCTGGTGTCTAGAGGCCACCCACAACTCATTGCATCCCAGACGTGGGACGAAGGGAAGCCCCGGAAGGATGGCAGCAGACACAGGCAGCTCGGTCGGGTACCTGGGAGCTGGTGCTGAGCTCCGAGGCACCTCTCCTAGGATGCAAATCTCCCCTCACTCGGCGGAGATGCAAAAGCAGGGCTGGAGTTTTGTAAGCCGAACTACAGCAGCTGCCCTCAGTCAGCCCTGTCCGGCAGACCCTGCCTGGGGACTCCTCACCCTGTGGTCAGCTCTCCTGGCCCACACTCAACAGTGCTCAAAATCCCACCCAGAAGCCGGCATAGCCATTGCACTGGGGGTGCACAAGCCCCTGGGCACTCCAATGGTCTCTCTCTCAGCACCCCCGTTCCCACCTGGCCCTCTCCTGGGAGACTGTCACCATTTATGTGACCCAGTGGTGCAGACCACCATCTCCAGCACCCACAGGCCAAAAGCAAGTGCTGACGCCTTTTGCTGGCTCCATTTGCTGATTTTGCCTCGCCAAGAAAGGCATCGAGCAGAGCCAAGAAGAATTCTGGGTTTAAAGAGGAAGCAAACCTTAGTTTACCCCATAAATCTCTCTTGAAATCAGAGAAGGCACATTAAAAATACCAGCAATCTTTCCCTGCCCAAAACGTCTAGGGGAGAAGAGATGTCATTTTGCATCTTCCTGTTCATTTTTTTTCTCCCCCACTGAACCAATTCCCTTCTCTCAGATGACTTTCCCCCTTTTCAGCAGACTTTTATTATTTAGAGGGTAGGAGCAAAGGACAAAGTCTGTGAAACCACCAGCCTTTTTTTCAAAGCACCTGCCGAGGTGCCCAGGGGCCAATCCCTGCTCCAAGCTCTCCTCTTGGCCTGCGCTACCACCAGGCACTTTGGCAAGAGGGACAGAGCAGCAGATGAAGGCATCCCTTGCCCTCATCATCCCTTCACAGGGAAGGTGCAGGTGGTGTCCGGTGCCAGAGCGTGCTAATTCCCAAATCCTCTGCAGAGGAGCGTGGAACTTGTCCCTAACTCCATCTCTGTGGATGTTCCACCTCAGAGGGGGATTTATTTTCAGTGCTTGTTTTGCAGAGGCCTTTGAGGGGAAGCCGGCAACCTGCTTCTTGCACAGACACGAGCCTGGCACGCAGTCTTAAAATTGCTGTTGGGCTTGCAGGGTGATGCTGCCTCGAGGGTGAAGGCAGAGCAGGAAGCACAGATTTGCTGGCGTGGAGCTTTTCTGCAGGTGATCCCCTGCCCAACTACCATGCTCCCTTTTTTTCTGCAATAGGAAAAAACCCTGTTATCCTTCCAGCAGCAGCCAACAAGAGAAAATCTCATGCAACAGGCACTTGGGCTTTTCGTGCACCACACAAGGCAGCAGGAAGGGGCAGCATTAGGGTGAGGCTCCCGTGTTACGGCAGGGACGTCTATGTGCAGACGAGCTTTGCTCTGCCAGTGGGTTTTTGTAGCTTTTTCTGGCCGATAGGAAAGATCAATAATGTGCAGGCAGGAGAGAAATAAAGTCATCAGGAGCCAAACAGAAGTGACAGGCAAACCCAGGAGATACTCTGCTAAGAGAAAAATGATCAGCAATAGGTGCTCAGGAAATTAGCTAGATTAGTTACATTTCCATCTCCCTTGAGACAGGAATTGCAGAGTATGTCAACCACAAAGAACATGTTTGATTCAGCTCCCAGGAAGACTGTGCCGTTATTAATTAATGTGCATTTCATTTACCCCGCATAATTTTTTTAAGAAGCCAACCCCGTGACAATATTTGATGTTGAATTACTTTGGAATTCAACAATATAGTTTCTTCATCATTCCTATCTCAGCTTGCTCTCACTCACAGACACAATTTCTGCCTCAATGCAGGCAGTTATAGTAGATCTCAGCAACAACTTTTTTTTTTTCTTTTCTGTCAGAATTATCCAATTTCCCTGGCTAGAGGTATACACAGGGCTTTTAAAAAAGAGCCGGCACTTTCCTCTCGAAAGACACAACCTGCACAGAGACTTCCCAGCCACTAGGAACACAACTCATCTCTTCTACTGGCAATTTCACTGCCTTAGCAGAGTCTTGGCAGTGGCGGCAATGTGCACCTGGAAACACAACCCCAAGTCGGAGCAGAAGGATGCCAAAATGTTTTGGCCCTATAGCCAAAATGAAAGAAGTGTTTGCACATGTGCTCCTACTCCAGGGCTTTCTGCTTATGGTAGTCCGTGCATTTTTTAGAGATCAATCATCCACCCACTCCTCCAAAACCTTCTGCAAAGCCCTTTCTCATCTCAGTGGCAGGGGCTGTTTCTGGCAGCTAGCACGTAGGTCCCCTGGGCACTGAAACTGTTGCTTTCAAGCCGTCTCTGAAAACATTGCCTAATGCTCTTTCGAGCATCTCTTGAGCTGCTCAGTGATGACTAGACAGAGCTATCACAACATGCTTGCTAACAAAGGGGGAGTGGGGAGCTCAGAGCCTAGCAGCAGCACGCTGTGCACTGCTCTCACTGCTCTCTCTGTGTCTCGCTTGTGCTTCCTGGTAGATCTGGTGCCAGGGACTGAGTACGGCATTGGGATATCAGCCATCATGGACAACCAGCAGAGTGTGCCAGCCACCATGAATGCCAGGACAGGTAAGTTTTCTGCACTATGGCAAATCACGAGCCAATATCACTCAGAGCAAATCCCTCCTCCCACCAAGCATGCCAAATGTAGCACTTGGAGCATAGCTCCTTCATGGCAAGGTACTGGCTGTCCTTACCACCCTTCCCACAAAGTGTTGGTCATCCACTCAGTATGGCTTGTGCTTAGGTACATGTGTTTGCACCACCTAGCTCCCAAACTGCCAGACTCTTCCACCCAACCCTTACCTGCCTTCCCCATAGAGCTCGACAGCCCTCGGGACCTCCTGGTGACAGCCTCCACAGAGACATCCATCTCCCTGGCCTGGACAAAGGCCAGTGGGCCCATCGACCACTACCGCATCACCTTCACTCCAGCCTCGGGGATGGCCTCCGAAGTGACGGTGCCCCGAGACAGGTCACAGCTCACTCTCTCAGACCTGGAGCCCGGGACAGAGTACACCATCTCGATCATAGCCGAGCGGGGACGCCAGCAGAGCCTGGAATCCACTGTGGATGCATTCACAGGTACAGAAGGGCAAACTGATCCAGGGCCAAGCATGGCATGGTCCACCACGCTGGTGCCTCTGCCAGGCGGATACATCTCTAGCACAGCAACTGGTGGGATAGCAAAGGGGACGAGAACAATGGTAAGGTGGCAGTTCATCCACATGAGAGCAGGTCCATTGACCTCAGAAGTGGGACAACCTAGGGGCCCAGCAGGTTCTCATAACTCTTACTATCAGCATTCAACACACCTGCTTTGTGGGTGGCTCCCATAAGGAAGAGGCAGGGGAGGAGGGAATCACCAACCTGCACTGTCCTCTGTAGTCAGGGTGTCCTATTTGCATGTAACAAGGAGAAAACAAGCCTTGAGAGGTCTTAACAAGCTTCTCTGCATGAAAGTCCTACACAGAGTCCCATCATCCATCATACAGCACCGGGGAGGGAGTTTGTTAGCAGAGCTGAGTGCCAGTTATGCCTCTTGATCTCAACACAGTTTTGGACCAAGATGAGCCCAGAACTGGTGTTTTGCTACATCTGTTGGGTATTTTCTGAACTAGAGACAGGATACTGTAGTTTGATCATACTAAGTGTGATTCAGGGGCCAGGATCTGCAGATGATCATCTTGCAGACAGCGATGTTCTGACACTGCTACGTCTGAACTGTTGATCAATATGATCCTTGGATGGACACATATTCCCAGTTGTAACCACCTCACAGTAGCAGGTTTGCATCTCCCCCTCTCTGGCTTTCAGGAGTCCGGCCCATCACACAGCTGCACTTCTCTCACGTGACATCCTCCAGCGTGAACATCACCTGGAGCGACCCATCACCACCAGCCGACCGGCTCATCCTACAGTATAGCCCACAGGACAAGGAAGAGGCCCAGCAGCTCACACTGGACGGCACCAGGAGACACGCCAGCCTGACGGGGCTGCGGCCAGCCACTGAGTACCAAGTGTCACTGGTGGCTGTGCATGGCACAATTAGCTCAGAGCCCATCGTGGGCTCTATAACTACAGGTAACGCACCACCCTCACACAAGGCTGAGGGCTCCTCAGCTCGATTCAAAGAGGGGCTTAAGGGGGACGTTTTTATTGAAGCCAGCAGCCTAAGCTGGAGTTGACGAGGCAATTTGTTTTCATGCAGAAGCAGTTATACTTAGGAAACATTTTGTGGGATTTACTGTAGGTTGAAATCCTATTTTGTAAGCTTCATGACCACATCTCCTGCTTCAGGCTTCCCTAGATGCTGAGCACATATACCATTTCATCTCACTTTTGTCTTTGGCTCTTCTTTGTCATGGCAACAGAATCTAAAATAATGCCAGTGGATTAAGTATTTTATCTCCCCATAATCCCTGAAACCCCACCTCAGCCAAAAGACATATTTGTTATTCAGCTTATGTTTCAAAATCCCCTTAAAACCGGAATCATCTCCCATGCTTAGCTACAGAAATCACAACCACACACAGCAGGGCTACCATCAGGGCTAGAACCCGAGCCAAGTGGGGAAGCAGGGGGCAGCTACATCAATGGCCTTAGCCACCATCAGCACTAATATCATATCACAGGCAGTCCAAGCTACCTCATACAGCTGTGCTAGTCCTGCAGCCCTGGCCACTGAAACTGGAATGGACCTTATGTGGTGTTGGCTGCCCAAGTTCTAAGCCAATGGCAGCTTTCTGCACTAGTAAAGGAAGTCTGACAGGAATATCTACCTCTAATAACTTTGTGTCCTCCTCCGTCTTGTCCAGGGATCGACGCTCCAAAGGACCTCAGGGTAGGAAATGTGACCCAGGACTCCATGATTGTCTACTGGAGCCCTCCCATTGCCACTTTTGATCACTACAGATTATCGTACCAGGCCTCCGAAGGTAACAGCCTAGCCGGTTCTTGCATGTCCTCTGCACTATACTGCTACGGACCCCTCCTGGCTGCCTCCATCCCCATCTGGAAACAAGGCACCAAGTCTCCCTACCCAGAGGGAGCCCCCTGGCATCCCTACACAGTGGTGCCTGCAGGTGCAAAACTTCACTTTGTCCACCTAGCACCAGGCTCCAAGGGATGCCTGGCTTTGCCCTCCCCTACTGAGCATTCCCTGCAGACCCAGGAAGGGACAAGGCAAGCAGTGCCATGATCCCAAACCTCTTCCTCTGCTCCCACAGGGAGAACAGACACCACCGCAATCCCCAGAGATGCCACCGAGTACACCCTGCTCCGCCTGCAGCCCGCTACCGAGTACGAGATCACCATGAAGAGCGTGCGGGGTCGCGAGGAGAGCGAGCTGGCCTCCCTCACTGCACACACAGGTGGGAAGGAGGTTGACAACAATATGACAAACCATGTCCATTCCCTGACCGGTCCTGGAAGCTGCACACTCACATTGGCACCATCTGTGAGGCGTGAAGGACACCCAGACCCAACGGTTGGGTGTCTTTGCAGTCACAGCTCCATTAAATGTCCATAAGAAGGCTGTGTCAGATCCCTGACACAGAGAAGTAAACATCTGCGAGAATTAAAACTCTCCTATCCCCAGACTATTGTCAACATCCTCAGTGAAAGGCTCTTGAGATCCTAAAAATATGCTAAAATAACAGGCTGCATGCCAGGAAAACCCTGGAAAAACCCAGCCCAGATAACAGACCAGTGCAAAATGCTGACACTTTTGATATTCAGAAAGGCCAGACGTAACTCTCCATTATTATACCTATGCCTGACCAGCATGAACCAGGGCTAGATCAGAAGACAACCTGGAGTTCGTAATTCAGAGCCCAGATGCTCTTCACACCTCTGATTTGCCGAATCTCTCTTTCCTGTGCAGCCATGGATGCCCCCTTGGGTGTCACTGCCACGAATATCACCCCCACCGAGGCCCTGCTGCAGTGGAACCCACCGCTGTCCGATGTGGAGAACTACATCATTGTCCTCACCCACTACAGAGGTATACAGAAATCTTCGTGTTTGTCTGTGCCAGCTACCTGTGAGATTTGCCAGGGACTTTACTGCAGCTTAATTCCATTAGAAACGAAAAACAAGACCATGCTTCAGACCAAACACCATGACCACAGCTAAGCTGCCAAACAATTACATTGTTGATACACCATGGTACATCAGGGAGCAGCATGAGCATCAACAATGTAATTGCTTTTGCTCATAAGATGATATCCTTCAACAAATTTCAGAGAAACAGACAAAACAGCCTAACTCATCTTCTCTGCCTTTCAGTTGCAGGAGAAACAATTCTTGTGGATGGAGTCAACCAGGAGTACCAGCTGACCAACCTTCTCCCCAGTACTACCTACACAGTCACCATGTATGCTACCAATGGGCCTTTCACCAGCCAGACCATCAGCACCAACTTTACAACTCGTATGTAAAATAACTTCTTCCACTCCCAACTGTTACATGCCTTTAGTCATTTATCCATCCAAGGAAAAGAAGCCAGAAAGGCTGAGCCATCAGAGCTTGTTATGTACATGTGGCTGTAGATGTTACAGTGTACCAAAAGGACACCCAAATAGTATGGTTTGGGCTTGGCACAGGAACTGAATTAAAATTACAACAAGTACAAACCATCATTTTCATAGGATTTTTTTTTTCAATATCCATCCATCTTTTTCTTTGATTTCCTAAGAAGAGAAGATCCCCAAATCAGGTCTTTTCCTTGCCTAGAGCCAAAATGCAGAGGAGCATTTGAATCCATTTAGATTCCAAGAAGCTTAACAGAAGCTGTACTAGGTTGCAGAGCCATTACTCTTCAGAGAGAGTGCAGGCAGAGGAGCACATTTAGAGTGTTTGCAGAGCTTTGTCCCAGGCTGGGGATGGGTGGTCTGGTCTGCCTACTTAGGATGAACTTTTGGCTATAGCACAGAGTTGTGAGTGTGGATCCCAGGTAATTGAGTTGGGGAGCTGCTTATATCAGAGTGAGGAGGTTTTATGAGTGTGTGTGAAATTGCACTTCCCTGGGTGCCCATCTACCCTTGCAGTTTTGGACCCTCCGACAAATCTGACTGCAAGCGAAGTCACCCGACGGAGCGCCCTTCTGTCCTGGATGCCTCCAGTGGGGGAGATTGAGAATTACATCATGACCTACAGATCAACTGATGGAAGCCGGAAGGTGAGTCCTCTCAAAGAATGAAGCTCATCAAGTCAGAGAAGAACATGACAGTGGGGGAAGTGAGCAGGAAAAATCTAATAAGGCAAAAGAGCAATGCTGCTTAATTCAGGAAGACTTAAGAAGAGCAGACACTATTTCTCTATAAGCAATATTTACTTCGGATAAACTACTGAAAAAGCACAAAGAGAATGCCTAGGGCAAATTTTTGTGCACACCTGCAAGTCAGGACAAAGAGGGTATATCTGGAAAGTTTGAAGGAACAGTGAAAATTCAGATCCTTTGAAAACACAAGCAAGTGGAGGCAGGAGAAAATTAGCTGGCAAACAGAGCAACTAGAGATGGTATTTGGCCTTTTTGCAAATAGATAGATAGAGACAGCTAATTAATCCTGCAATACAATATATTTGATTATTTAAGGAGTGTGCCCATACTTGCCTGTCTGGAAGAACTGCTCCAAACTATCAGAAATAAGTAACTGCAAATTGTCTCTTTTCTTTGCCAGCATGACTTGCTCAGAGTGACCAAAGGATAACATTTTTGCAGAAAGAGTTCAATATAGTGCTATGTGGCATTGGCTGAAGACCAGGAAAAATAATGTGACAGGAATTAACAGAGCCGAAACTGGCCAATAATCAGGTTTGGCCATCTCTGCTCCATACAGTGCTAGGGCAACCTGTCATGCCCTATATTGAGTGCATTTAGATCCCAGTCAAGAGTCAGTAAATAAACACACTGATTGCAAACATATATATCTCCAGGAAAAAGAATTCAGCTTTGTGTCCAAACCAACTTTCTCTGTCTCATCCAAACCACTCCAAAAAGCTCTATAAGTTATATATGTCCATGGACATAATGCTGGTTTTCTGCATTAGTCTGAAGTCCGTCTTAAGCAATCTGAGCCTTTTCAACATCATATCACATTCTATGAATGCCTAGGAATAATGCCTAATGACACAGCCCGCCATATTCCCTGGCCATATTGCATCAGTCCTCCCTCTGGCTGGTGTTTGAAGAGTGTGATCTCAGTTCCTCAGCCTCACTGAACTGCTGGTAAAATGGGAGTGATGAAATCTATCTGCAAAATGGAAGGCTGAGGACTGAGTTTGTGAGTGTACATAAGTGCCCTCAGTCAGACACCAAAGGTGGTAACAGCTTTTAGCTCCCTTCTGTAGTCACTAGCTCCTTAGGCTCCCCATTGCTTTTCTCATCTGTTGCTCTTGGTATCTGCCTCCTCCTGGGACCCACGTACAGGAGCTGATTGTGGATGCCGAAGACACCTGGATCCGCCTGGAGGGCCTTTCGGAGACAACAGAGTACACCGTGCGCCTGCAGGCTGCCCAAAACGCCGTGCGGAGCGGCTTCACCTCCACCACCTTCACCACAGGTGAGCACTCAGACAGGTGGCCATGAAGCCACGCGGGCCTAGCTGTGCTGCTGGCAACACAAACTGCTGTTACGGACAGGAATACTCCTGTATTGACCGGGGAGAAACCCATTTGGTTGCCCCGCTTTGTAGACAAGGTCTGATCTCTTACAGTTATGAAGCAGATGCAGTTCCATCAGCATCAGCAGAGTCACAGCAAAGTGGAGTCAGCATGACGACATGACTGTGTTGCCACTAATTTTATGTCCATCTGGTTGCAATATTCCCCTCTCTGCCAACTGTACAGAAATCATGATCTGCTAAGGCAAAGAGGATTGTTTCCTTTGTAAATTAAATGGTTGGTATCCAACAGCCACTGTAACCCTTACAGACAGAGCACTTAGCTAGTAAGACTGAAAAATGCATGAAAATGTCATTATTGCCCCATTCTTTGCAAGCATAGAGACCATGAAAAGCATGTAGTCCCTGCTCTGTTTGAAAAGCCTTGCAAGACCACTTACACATAGTGACTTTTGTTCTGAGCCAAATCTAATTACATTTCTCCTGGATTTCAAAACGAAAAAAGAAGCCTAAAGATGATATCCATTCCCCTGCACTGAAAGTCATCTCCTCTCTACTTGGAGAGTTCAATTTGGAACCACTGTGGACACACTTCTCCGTTCTGGGTACATGCAAAGGTTTTTTTCACCTGCTTTTAAGAGATAATAGAAACTATTTATGTCAATAAAAAGGAAAAGACTCTTCTAATGTTTCTATAGAATGGGCTTTCCTGTTATTCTCACCTCTTATGTTGGCACATAAAGCTAGTACAGTTCAAGCAGGTGATGGAAAAATGTGTGTAATCTTTGAAGTGGCACTGGAGTCAGCGATGAAATTGCACAAAGTTGTATTCTTAGCTAGCATAAAACAGGGAAAAAAAAGCCACTGACGGCAGGCAATGAGAGCATTGTTTCTATTAAACAAAAATTGTATACCTTGACAGTGTTTGAGATGCTATTGCCAGCTGATGCATCCTAATGCATCATCTGAACACAAGTCTAATTTGTTTTGAAGGTGAACATTAGCAGGAAACCATTTTCTCCCCATCTATCCTATATATCTATGAAACAGAAGCATTCAGGAACCACCACTAAGGCAAAGCAATCCTCAGCCAGAGTCTCTTAGCTAGGAAACAGGGTCTTGCATTCAATTAACTCTGACAGCATATTTGGGTGCTTTGCAAGGAGGAGGAGTGTGTTTGAGGAGGAGAAAAACCCAGGCTTAATTTAAAAGCTTTGCTTCCTTATGTGCACAGTACATTATCCCATGGTTCTTTCATTCTTTCTGATATATCAATAGTTCTGCCTCTTTGTCTCATGTTTGCATAAGATTCTTGGGGAACTGTATACAGATGGGACAAAAGGAAGAAATAGATACAGTATTTATAATTTATAGTGGTTGGAAATGTCTTTCAAGGTCTGCTTGACTTTTAAAGATATGAATGTAAATTAAGAAACAAGTAATCTCTGCAGAGCTCAGGGGAGTCTGAAGCGGCTGTCTTCTTTGATACAATTTTCATTGTTTAACACTAGAAAGTGCAAACACCATCTCACTAGACGTTACGTTACAGACCATAGAGACAGGAAAGAAAAGTGGGGGGTTCTTCAATCTTTGGACAAAGTGACAACCATTGACTCTTTACATCGCAAGGGTTTGAAGAGTGGCAGGGAATATACCCAAATGGAAGATAATGCAGGGGATGAACCATTGCCTTGCCACCCTACCGCGTGTCTCACATTTGTGATGCATGCCCACAGCTTTCCATTCACACCCTTTGAAGGTGCAATTGCAACCATTCTTGCAGATTGTTATTAGACATTGCTCAACACAGAACTCATTTACCCTCCATCCAGATGCACCAGCAGTGACAAAAAGATACAAATCTCCCTTTTGTGCTAGATGAGAAAGAAAATGAAGCTAGAGTTAGACTCTCAGTGTTGCTGAAACACGCTGAGAATTTGTGGTTAAGACTTGCTGCAGTTTAGACCCTCAAATGACGATGTGTCTTTATTAGAAGACAATTGGAAGGTGGCCACGAGCTCAGGCTACCTCGGTCTAACAGGGACAGAGTCCCATCCCAGGGACTCTTGTGTTTAGTCCCACAGGTGCCCAATTCCTGCTCAGCTTACCAGCTGCAGTCTGTCTAGTGTAAATCTGCCTGTGGAGTCAGTGAAGCCACAGTACTTGGGTAGAATTAGAGATACTGAGAGGAGAACAGGTTTTGGTACTTTGCAGCAGTCCAGATATGCTGCTGACAGCTGAAACCCCAGGGTTTCAGAGGCTATCCAAAAACATTTTCCAAGAAGTGACGTTTCTCATCATTCACAGTTATGTTATCATGCACCTTTCTGGTAAGGGACACTTGAGAGATTAATTTATATATGCTACACATTTCGTTCATTAAATTCTCCAGTGCCTTTGACCAAGATTCATAGTTAGCATTGCCTTCCAGAATAGCTTTGGACACAAAGTTAGACTGTTCCTGGATTGTAACCAGCTGGGGCTGAAGCTGGCCTCTGTGGCACATGGGAAGGGGTCCTCCCTGCCTAAGCTCTGCTTCTTCCATTTCACAGGCGGTCGCGTCTTTGCTAATCCTCAGGACTGCGCCCAGCACCTGCTGAATGGTGACACGCTGAGCGGGGTTTACACCATCTCCGTCAACGGCGACCTTGGCCAGAAGGTGCAGGTGTACTGCGACATGGCCACGGACGGAGGCGGCTGGATTGTAAGTAGCTGTGCACAGCTACAACCCAAACGGGGCCCTTCCCCTGCACCTTCCTAAGGCCCCTTCTTTCACAAAGGCAATGCCACCCCTTCAGCAAGGGAGGTGGCAAGAGAGGCAGGGTCACACAGCAAAGCATTCACCTGCAACCTGCAATGATTTTTAAGGCCAGAAGGAGCAAGAGCAAGCAGGCAGGGTGAAACATCTGGCATACTGGATATCACTTTACCCTTTTGCCTTCACTTCATGCTGTGGGCTGGCACAAGAGCACAAAAGGAAGAAGTTACCAAACCTGCCTTTTCCTTGCATATTGGCTACCCTCTCAATCCTTAGGCTCTCTTCTGACCACATGAGCAACATCTTTCATGAGGGCACAACCCGCCCCTAAAGAGGCAGGGTGGTTGCTCACCCACACTGGTTGGCAGAGCATGTCCCATCTGCCCACCCTGAGCCTGGGCTCTGGGCTGCCCTCCAGTGTCACAGCCATGGCCACCCACCACCCTCCACATGAAAAACAACAGAAAACATGGCCCAGTCCATGGCTCGTGTAATGGACACTCCATCAAGCAGCACAATCACCCCAGCTTTATCTCAGAGGCACCTGTGCAGTGGAACCAGAGAGATGGTTCCATAACAGTGAATGCTCCCTCCTGCACCAGCATGGTTTTCCTAAACCTTGTCCACACCAAGGATGGAGCAGGCCACATCCTATTTACCTGAAGAGCTCAGAAGATAACTCAGCAGAGGAGCAGAGCCACAAGCCGTGCAAAGGCACTGAGTGTGGTGTGCCCATGGCAAACGGAGGCAGCTGGCTGCCCCATCCAGCAGAGCTGCCAGGCACAGCAAAGCACTGCACCGAGCAGGATCAGAACAGGCTTAGCACTGCATTTCCCGTGCCACAGGGAGCAGCACTAATAGTTACACTTGGAGAAATGTTCTTTGATTTATTTGACATGTTTGCTGTGCTTTTAGGGAGCAAAATCTTGAAGCTAGAATTGATTTATTGTTCTATAAATGAAATTAATAGCTAGTAGCTTTCAAAGTGAATGATTCATATTTACTCTTTGCAATTGGAAGGTGTCAGGCATGAACCATATTGGATCCACACAGGAGCATTTTAGAGGCAAATACCCATTTTGCTGTCAAATTGCAAAATCACAGCTCAACTTGACTTAGATGGACAGGCAACTTAAGTAAAGAGTGCTCTGGCACTTTGATTTTACTTGTATTACAAGCACTCACTTGTATGTATTACACAAAGTTCCAGCAGATGTCGAAAGGAAAAAAAACAATAATAAGTGATTTCTAGCACAAGTCTTTTTACAAATTTTCCTGTATCTATTTCTACTCCAAAACACCCCCTCGGCTATCAGACTGGAGGGTTTACAGAAGGAACCAGCTAAGTGCAGAATCACATGCTAGAAAACTAGAATCACCATGTCTGGGGGCAAGCAAAAAGTTTGAAGGCTGGTTCCTTGACTCTGTCCTACTATAACACTGGTTTTCTGAGGATATCATTAAATATCTTTTCTGTTTATTCATCTGCACATCTGCAGCCTCACACAGCTGCAATTAACATTAACTGAAAGAGCATTGCATTTTTCTGCCTCGAAAGGCACTACGCAAGGGCAATATATTCCCTCATTTTTTGGTAGCCCAAGGCCTAGCTAGGCCATCAGCCTTCCATTTTTCACCCCTGCAGGTATTCCAGAGGCGGCAGAATGGGCTGACAGATTTCTTCCGGAAGTGGGCAGACTACCGGATTGGCTTTGGAAACCTGGAAGATGAATTTTGGCTGGGTAACACCTTCACTGTTCTGTCTTCCATTGGTCCTGTCAAAACAGAGACTGCGGCAAACGATGACTTGGGCAAACAGCTTGCCCCTGCCAGCTTAATTCCCTTTCCCAGCCTTGTTCAACTGGTAGCTCCTTGCTTTTTGCCATACTTCTCTTTGATCTCCCTCTCCTTTAATACCACTTTTCTTCCGTTGATCATTCCCTGCCCTTTGAATTAGAGCAATCATACACGGATACACAACATAAAAGCAAGTTACAAAGGCCAGCAGGTCCCTGGTTTGTGAAGTTAATACACGAGCCTGTCATTTTGACTCTGCCTAAACCTCATGGCAGCAAAATCCCAGCACTGGACTGTACTATCTAATTCCTTGGACCATTTCTGTTTGCCGTGTGAATGTCCTCTACAACTGAATCCTTCCGTAGATTCCTCCAAGGACAGACCCAGACTGAGAAGGGTGTACACAGGGGGAATTTGTGGGCCAGAATTTGGTATTTTCCTTGGATAGCAAGTGGTATTTATGGCTCACAGGCCTCCCCTTCAGTGAGCAAGACAGTTGTTCAAAGTAAATAGGAAAAGGGTAAATGGGAGACTCAGCACAGCTCCAAAATAGATCTGTCTCTCCCATAAAAATGAGCATGACCAAGGCCAGCTCTACAATGTAAATACACTCTGTTTTTTAAGGGAGTTTATCACCCAGATGTATATGTAACAGGACAAGCACCACAGCTTATTGCCCCCAGATTCAGTGGCGCTAAAAAGCAAGGGACAGAGAATTCAGACCCAACCAGTGCTACGAGAGAGCAAAACCTAACCAGAAGCTCTGTTACTCAGTGGTTCCTCTCCTCACTTTCATTTCCGAAATCTATTTTATTTGCTATTTTATTTGCCTAAAGCTTTTTCAGTTTGTTTACAGAGCATATCCAGGCACCGGGTCTCAGCGGGTGTCTCCCTGCTTGTCTTGCCAGGCTTGGACAACATCCACAAGATCACCTCCCAGGGGCGCTACGAACTGCGGATAGACATGCGGGACGGCCAGGAGGCAGCGTACGCCTACTACGACAAGTTCTCCATCGGCGACTCCAGGAGTCTGTACAAGCTCCGAATAGGAGAATACAACGGCACCTCCGGTAGAAACTCACGCTAGCCAGCACCTAATGTGTTGTAGGAAGCTCCTGGGAATGGTGGGTCTGAAACTGTAAAGGAAATCCTAACTCAAAGCTGTTTCCTACTCTTCTGGAACAGCCAGGCACTAATCCATAGCCCTTTCTTTCTGTTCGTCATATAAACTAGATGGATAAATCCCACCAAAGACACAGGGAATTTTCCAGTGGGGATTAGATATTTAATGTAATAGCTTTTGCTGTTCCAATAATCGGGTCAATAGTCAGAGGCGTCACTTCACTCAACAGTACCCACAGTTCTATTAACGCCATGCCATGCTGCAGGGTGAATTTATTACCCTCCCACAGCAATGGAAAATCTGCAACCCGCTGCATAGTTTCATTTTAAAGGGGCCAAACACTAGCCATTTTTGCAAGAATGCTGTTAAACCTGCTTGCGTGGCTGACACAGCAGCACTGGGCTTTGCCCATCAGAGAGCTTCCTGAAGACAGCCTCAAGCTGAAGCACCCTAGGCTGCAGGATGGCAGAGAGAGGGTGCAGGCTCTTGAGCAGCAAGATGCACAAGCCAAGAGCAACCTTGTCTGCCAGTTACCCTTAGTGGCATGTCTTTCTGCAGGGGATTCCCTCACCTATCACCAAGGCCGCCCCTTCTCCACCAAGGACAGGGACAACGATGTTGCTGTGACCAACTGTGCCATGTCATACAAAGGGGCCTGGTGGTACAAGAACTGCCACCGGACCAACCTCAATGGAAAGTACGGCGAGTCCCGTCACAGTCAGGTAAGGGCAAAGCTGGCATAGCACTTCTTGTAACTGTGTGACTCACTAGCCTGTTGGTCCCTTCCCGTTTCCTCACTGCCTGCTAGATTCTTTCTTTCTTTCTTTCTTTCTTTCTTTGAGGTAAAAGTGGTGCCTCCTCCTCATTATCAAGAGAGCAGACATAGGCTGCAGCTGTGGCTGTGGTCAGTGCTCAGGAGTCAGGAGCACTTCAGGAGTTATCCCTTGTCAACTGGAGAAGCCGCTTTTGAGTCATTGACGCTGATGCTTTGCACTCTATATTGGCTGCCATGGTCATTTACCAAGGCAGCTTGCTAAGTCACATTTAAATATATATATATGTGTATGGGGGTGTGTGTGTATATATATAATATATATTTATAAAATCAGAAGCTTTTGAGAGGTGAGAATGACCAAACAAGCCAAAGCAGCATAAGGATCTTTTGCTCCCAACCTAACAAATTATTTTCTTCCTTCTGGTACCTCTGCAGAGTTCAAATTTATCTCCTTCCTCTCCCACTCTTGTTTTGTGTTTTGTTTTTTCTTCACCCTGTACTTTTTTTTCGCCTCCTGCCAGGGGATTAACTGGTACCATTGGAAAGGCCACGAGTTCTCCATACCCTTTGTGGAAATGAAGATGCGACCCTACAACCACCGTAACATCTCCGGGAGGAAGCGACGGTCCCTACAGCTCTGAGGAAGCAGGAGCCCTCTCCCACTTCCCACCACCTGACCTTTTCTGTCATTTGTATTTTATAATATGAAAAGGGAAAAAAATACTCCTCTGAGATAGCAATCTGCCCCTCACTAGTCCTGGAGGGAACCATGGTATAAGTAAGGGCCATGGAAAAGGAAAGACCTCATTGCTTTGCATCAGTCCCAGAGAAATAACAAATTTCCAGGCTTCCTGCCCCAAAACCTTTGCCCTTAACATGAAAAGAAAGACAGATTTTTGATATTTTTTAAAAGACTTAGAAATCTCCAGCATCCCCTGTCAGAAGCATTTCACTTGCCCTATCACCACCATCTCTGCCATGACATCCCTCCCCGTTCTCAGAGCAGAACCAGTTCACCAGCCACTGGGATGGGGACAGGCCTGGCCACAGCACAGGGCAGACCCTCTCTTTGGGCAGATCACTTCCCTGCAGCCCAGGACCTGTCAGACTCTTGGGCGACATGGCAGAAATTTTCACCCCCCAACGATCTTGATGCAGCTGTTTCCACCATGTAAGAGTGGCCAGACACTGATCCTTTTTGTCCCTACCTCTCTCCTCTCTGCTGGCAGGTGCTGAGCTTCCCATCATCTCGCAAACACCAGCTCTTCCAGCAGACAGTGTAGACCAAGAGTTGCTCTACCAGCCATGAGCACTTGAAAGCTGTATCATCACTCCTGTCCTCTGTGAGCTGAGCTCACCACAGTTATGGTGCATGATATTTATCATCTGGGTTCTGTTTAGCTCAAGGGGGAGGAAAGGAGATAAACGAGACAACCTGGGAGGGAAAAAAAAATTATGCAGTCTTTAAGTCTATTTTGGACCCATTTATTCTATTTTTATATGCCAACACATGGACTCCCATAGAGGCAGCTGGTGCCAAACCAAAGAGTGTCAGAGAAAGACCAACAACCAGAGGAGTTACCAGAGGGCTACAGTCCAGCTGGAATCAGCAGAGTATGTAGCAGTCATCATCCTAGCCCAGGAGCTAGGCTTATGGACCTCTGTGCATGCAGGGGGAACAGTGATGATGCAGACAAGGGAAGAGAAGTACAAGCTGAGAAATGCTCATACCCTTCCTGCTCCTACACCATCCCTGTGACTGCAAGAGGGACACAAATTCTCAGTGCCTTGGTATCATCATCTCTGTAATGGGAAATACAGCTGCTTCCCTTCCTTGAAGGAATGCTTAGTCCAGTAAGATTTGTACATCACTTTGAAACTCTAGAAAGAACCGATGAGTTGCTCTTCCTGTCCTTTACTTCTCCTTTCTTAAAGAAGGTGGACTCTTTGGAGAGCTCCGTCTGTGGTCTGTTTTCCTTGACACTACTCCCACTTATCACAAGCAAGTGTCACACTGGATTTAGTCCTCTCTGCTAAGGGTTCTAAACAATGTTTTGCATTGTGGTTGGCCTGGTCTAGGAGAAAGGACTTGTCCCCACTTCTGATTCGTACATGCAAGTACAAAGCGGCTCATATCTGGGTCCACAGCCAAGGCAGCAGTACAAATGCAAAACACTGCTTTTCCATTTTATCACACTGAAGTTGCTTTGTCTCAAGAAGCACTTCCAGAAGGCAGCATAAAGGCATCTTTGCAGTCGCTTACAATTCAGCACAGTCTCTTTCACAGTCATGCCCCTGGATTTTCTGATGTTACTCACCACTGGTGTGGAGCTGAAGGACATCAAGTAAGAAACGTGGCTTCCTTATCTATGCCATGGCCTGGCACACAATAACAGAGCTCACTCAGAGGTCAGGATTAGATACAGGGTTGAACCCCTTGAGTGGTCAGTTTACAAGCTGACGTGGACAGTCTGGCCTGGAGGAAGGATGCTGCAGTGCAGTAGCACCTCATGTAAGTGAGGCATCTCTTCTAACAACCCACTGGTGTCAAACCAGGCATCAAACACATCATTTGACTGAGGAATGGGTCAAAGAGGATGAGGAAGAGGGAACCTCTCACAGTATACAGCCAGTGTGTCAGATCGACCTGCCTCATTTTAGGACCCCAAACCAACAAGAAGCAAGAGGCAGAACTGATCAAAACATAAGATGACTCCTAGTAGAACTGCAGAGTAATATTTTCCCAATATGACCCAAATTTATGGATAAAAAGTGCATTAACAAAAGCCCTCTAGTCCAGTAGTTATAACTAGGGCCTGAGACTGACAGTGGATGGTATTAATTTCCTGTTTTAGAAGGTGAGTGCATGGGTGAGTGACATGGTTTGCTTTTCTACCGAGTAGAAATATGGGAATTCAACATTCGCTGTCAAGCAAAAGGCAAGAAACCTCTCTCTTTTCTGTAAGCACAAAACAAACAAGTGGAAAATAAAAAAATGTGCTCAACCAAATCACAACCTCATATACCAGACCCCAGAAGGAGCTTTCTTTCAGCCTTGTTTTTTCCAGGAGTTTCAAAAGATCTTTTTAAAGATCTTTTTAAAGATCTTTACAAGGCTGATTATTCTCTAAATAGATTTCCTGTCATATGTTCTTCCCTCCCTGCTGATGTCTCTCATCACTTTCATAAGTCCTATAGCTGTGATGACAGCACCTAGTTGCCAGAACTGCAACATCGAGGCAGAAGGACACTCTTGGAGATAATGTCATTATAAACTGAGATAGGTTCTTCCAGAAAAAATAATAATAATAATAATACTAAAAAGTTACCGGCAAGAAGTCCTGGCTCCCTCCTGGTTCCTCTTCCAGTTCTTGCTCTGCTTCCTTCCTAAGGCCTTCCTGAGTCAGGGGCCACCTTCACTTGGACAACAACGTTGCTGCATCTCCGATCACGCACCCAGAGCACCAGGGTGTTGTGTTCGCTACCTTGGGGAAACACAGTTTCTAAAAACACTTTAAGGGAAGGTGCCTGCATGTTGTGGTCTTGGTGATAACCCAACCGAAGTCTGAGCAAACAGTTAGCAAAGACAAGCTAGTCACATTGGTCCTCATGCCTCATTCACATGGCCCATAAGATGAATTTTTTCAGAATTTTGTTTTTCAGCATTGTCCGATACATTTCTTTTGATAAAGCTCCCATCATTGTTTTCAAGCATATTTATGCTTAACATTGATGCTGCAGAATGGCCAAGTGATTTGACACTCCATCACTGCCTGGGCAGGATGAACTTTTTCTGAACTAATTCTCCAGCCAAGGCAGACGTGTCTTTGTCCCTCATTAGCTCAGCTGTCAAACTGAATCAAACCTTGGCAACAGGCTGGAAAGCCACCAAAGACAGAGCTGTCTCCTGTGCCGTGTTCATCTCCAGAGACCTAAGCTTCAATCACTCCTGAACAACCTGGTGGCTCTTCTCCCCATCCAGCTTGCAAGGCTGGGCTCTTATCTGGACCAAGCTCCAGACTGAACCAGAAGCCACCAGCCAAACTGCACTTCCATGTGCAAAATGTTAAATCCCAGAGCATCAATGGGGAGCAATACAGCGGGTCTTTCCCCTAGCAGAGCATGGCACATGCCCTGGATCCTGGTGGCCTTCAAAGCCACCTCTGCTTTCTAACCCCAAACCCTGCTTGTCCCTAGGAGTGGGAGACCTTCCTGCTTTAGCAAGAGAAGGAAGCATTAGAGCTCCATTGCCAGCAAAGCCCACTAAAACCAGCCGGCAGCGTTCAGCTGGCTGAGCAGCGTTTTGATGCTTCCCCAAAGCACATGAGGAAGCAGGAGGTGCCGCGCTCGCCTGGGCTGCCAGCAGCTCCCAGGCAGGCTGGGGCAGGCCCGGCGCTTCCCGGCACTGCAGAGCGCCATCGCGGCTGGGAGCTCGGACAGAACAACTCATCTCCAGGAATTTTGGCATCTCTATCCTCAGTCCAACCCGCTAACACATAGGGACGGGAATATTAAGCCTCTGGGAATGCCAGGGAACTTCCACACCTCTCTCCCCTAGTTTAATTTACCGTTTCCAATCCTGCTCAATTGCTAAACCCACCTCTGCTCACCTCTTTAAAATGCGACCAAAGAAGGAAGAGCTACTTGTAGTAAAGCCACTTTAGTGAGGTAGGTACAAGTGAATAGCTTGTGAAAGGGCAACAAGTAGGTGTCCTAAAACCCCTTTAATTCCCACTTTAATTGCCCATTGACTCCCAGGACACCGAGTTCCATCCGCCCATAGGAGCTGGTGGCTGTTCTGGCTCCTCTAAAGGGAAGGGTCTTTGGGGAAGCGAGCGAAGATGCGAGGACACCCCTGCCCAGGAGCCAGCGAAACCCAGGCTTTGGGCAGCACATGGCCCCAGCAGGCAGCCACGCCGCTCCGCCGGCTCCGGCGCCTGCTCCGAGCAGCGAGGATGCGCAGCGACAATCCAGGCAAAACAACAGCAACAACAAAATACGGCCCTTGGGTACAGGCCTGACACTGGAGGCTTCACTGCTGCCAAAATAGAATGAGCAAAAAGGAAGAACGGAGGCACCAAAATCCCTTGGACAGATCCTGATGAGGTAAAGAAATCAGTGCGACAAAATGGCAGTAGGGCAGGGGTAGAAATAAGTAAATAAATAAATAAAATAAGTAATATAAATAAATAATATATTAAACAACCCTCCCCACCTTGCAATGGAAACGTAGCTTGGAGAATGGGATTGACGCTTGTTAACCGTTGTTAACTAGTATTTTTAGTCCTGACCGCTCTTTAGCTATGTATAGTTCCTTTTTTTAATGCATTTTCTATACATTAATTAAAGAATCCGAACGAGTGTCTGGAGTGTTGGTCCCTGAGTGGTGGGAGAAGCTGCAGGGAGCAGGTTGGGAATCAGTGTGGCCCAGAGAGCATAACAAAAAAAGCAGGGAAGAAGCCCCTGGAGCTGCGTGCTGCAGGGAGAGACACCCCCGTGAGACCCCGAAGGCCCTGATCTAAACCTGCTCCTTGCACATGGGAAACCCCCCATGAGCTGAATTGCAAAGCAGCCTCCGCTGAGCCCTGGTGCCCGCTGCCTGGTGCAAGCTTCCTCTTTCAGAGCTTGCAAAACAGGGCCCATAATTCCTGGTGAAGCCCCGGTGCAGTAAAAAAAAGAAATGAATTTGCAAGCAATTTGAGAGGGCATAAGCTGAGCGGCTTTGAACAGAGGTCAGAAAACTGAAAAGCCACCAGTTCGCCCTTCGCAATGTGCGATCATCTTCTGCAAGGGGTTTCAGCCCTCGGTACACTCTAACCAATGCTTTGAGAGGCTGCAGGGCCACACAGCGTACATGAGCGCAGAGGTTAAAAATAATAATAAAAAT